AAAAAGGGAAACAAATTAAACTTGCCATGAAGAATAACCAAAACACCTTTTGTCTTATTGTAGCACATCAGCAACAAATCACCTTCATCTTATTTATATTTACAATTAAGAGTCAATTTATAGTGAGGATTATTTTCCTTGTTGATGTCAATCACTTTGTGGCTGTTAGTAAAAGGTGGCAGGTGGACATTATGTGTATGGCTGTTAAGTCTAGATTTAGACCACACCCTTCAATTACAAGCTGTTATAATTTTGAATGAATTACTTTAGTTCTTTGAGGCTCAGTTTTTCATACAAGAAGTGGGAATCATAAGATTATTGTGAGCCTTATATTATACACAGTATATATAATGATACATATCAAATATAAAATATAATAATTTTCCCAGAATATCTGGTACATAGTAAATATGCAATAAAGACTGCTATCAATAAAACATTTTCTGAATTCAAATGCATCATAAATCTATATTTCAAATAAATTCCTTAAGCTTACTTTTATTCTATTTTATTTGATGTTATTCAGACATTCCTTCATGCCAATTTACTCTGAGGTTAAAATGTGAATATGAATCTGACATTAATTTATACTTTAAATTTCAATTATACGGAGTATTCATTTTATCATCTTTTAAGGGCTACCACTCACACAACCAGGGAAGAGTTTGGCAATAGGTTCAGAGGATGTGAGTGTGTGCACTTGTGTCTGAGGACATTTCAGAATAAAAGGTTCCAGTTTTTAGAAGTTACTGTCTCCTCCCTTTCAAGCTTTTGGCAGAGAAAATTGAAAGCTACTGCATTTCAAGGCTTTATAATCCAATAAAAGTCATTAACATGTTCTAATGTATGTTAAGGGTTCCATAATATAAATAAGAAACAATATAATAAGTCTCAATAATTATATAAATAATTTTATCTCTATATGTTATTTCATGTATTAGTTTCAGGAAAACTGAAAACCTCAGATACTAGTAATATTTAGATATTTAGAAATTTGAGTTGGAATGATAATAGAAGCACTTATAAATATCATGTTTAATTAAAATACCAATGCTGGGACACAATTTTGGGGATACATAGTTACATGGGAACCATATGTATTAACTTATTTTATATAGGTTACTTCCCACAGATGGACTTTTACATATAAATTAGTGGTCTGAAGGTTTATTTATGGACTAGAAAGACCAAAATGTTTGCCTCAAAGTATTTATAATCATGATGTAAGGGTACTTATGAAAATTATAGAAGTGTAATGGCCTTACAATGTTTGAGTCATGGAAC